TCTCTTGAATTCTCATTGTCCAGAAATAATCAATGGTCATATTAAGACAATCATGAGATATGTTTAAAAAATAACCAGTTAATAATATTGTTAACATTCTTCCAGACATTTGTCAATGTATAGATGCTCATAAAGTTTTATGTGTATATTGATGTTTGGCAATATGCTTTTTTACTAAATATCATCATGTGTACGTACTTGTATGTCAAACACAAGTCTATACCACAATTTTTGCTGACTGTATCATATTCTATTATATGGGTAAAACTTAATTTATTAACAAATTTTTATTGTTAATCCTTACATTATTACCAACTTTTTCTCTTATAAACAGTACTATAATAAATGCCCTTATAACTAAATTTTTGTGTACATCTTTGATTCATTTTTTTTTTGTCCTTTTTGTGACCAGTAAGGGGATCGCAACCCTTGGCTTGGTGTCGCCCGCACCGCGCTCAGCCAGTGAGCGCACTGGCCATTTCTATACAGGATCCGAACCTGTGGCGGGAGCGCCGCTTGTGCTCCCAGCGCTGCACTCTCCCGAGTGCGCCACGGGGTTGGCCCTTTGATTCATTTTCTTATGCTAGATCCCTAGAAGAGGTGTTTCTGGATCAAAGGCTGTGCTTATTTATGCTCCTACCAGCTATGTATGGGAGAGTCTATTTCTCTATAAGTTTTACCAACATTGAATGTTATAATGGAGTATATGTATTTATTTGAAAAGGCATCTCATTACTGTTTTATTTTGTATTTCTCTACTTTCCAGTAAGAACAAACATTTCCCAAGATTTTATGAACCACTTATTATTCCCGTATTGTAAATTGCCTTTTTGTGTCATTTGCCAATTTTTCAATTCAGATATTTACTGTTATGTATTAAATATATTAACTCTTAAAAAAAAGAAACCAATTTATTTATTTATTTTTTCCTTTTTGTCTTTTTTCGTGTCCGGCCACGAATCGCAACCCTCAGTGTCGCGCCTGCACGGGACCGGGACTGGCAACGGGATCGCAAACCTCGGTGCTGCGCCCGCACCTCGCTCAGCCAGTGAGCGGGAACCAGTCTGTATGTGGGATCGGACCCCTCGGCGGGAGCGCCGCCGCGCTCCCAAGCGGCGCACTGTAGCAGTGCGCCACCAGGCTGGCCCAAAAGAAACCAATTAAAATATAAGACACAGATAGGTAAAGGTAAAGGACAAAAAAAAAAGATAAACCATGTAGACAATAATCAAAAGTAAGCTGGAGTGGCTATATTGATATCAGACACAGTATATTTCACAACAAGGAATATTACCAGAGATAAAAAGGAACATTTCATAATTACAAAGGAGTCAATTCAACAAGAGAACATAAAAATCTTAAATGTGCATGCACCTACTAACAGAGCTTCAAAATACATGAAGAAAAAACTGACAGGACTGAAAGGACAACAGGACAAATTCAAAATGACAGTTGGATCTCAACACTCTTTTCACAAGGATTTATAGAACAATTAAAGAGAAAATCAGTACTAATCGGGCAGGCTTGAGCAACATTACGAAGCAACGTGAGCTAATTGGTATTTATAGTACACTCCATCCAACAAAAGCAGAATTTTTTTTTCATATTCTGGGTCCCAAAACAGGTTTATACAAATTGAAATCATACAGTATTTCTCTGTCCCCAGTGAAATGAAAATGGAAATAAGTAACAAAAAGCTACCAGAAAAATCCACAAATATTTGAGAAGTAAACAGTAAATTTTTAAATAACCTTTTGGTCAAACAAGAAATGACAGGGAAAATTGGAAAATATTCTGAAGTGATTGAAAATGCAATACAACATATCAAAATTTGTGAGAGGCAGCCAAAGAAACACTCAGAGGGAAATTTATAAAATCGAATGCTTCTAATACAAAGAAATAAAGGTCTCAAATCAGTGATCTGAGCTTCCATCTTAAGAAACTTAAACCCAAAGTAAGGAGAAAGAAGGAAATAAAGAGGTGAGACCCATGACATAGAAAGCAGAAAACCCTACAGGAAAAAAACCAACAATAATGGAACCAAAAGCTGGTTCTTTGAAAAGATCAATAAAATGAATAAACTCTAACCAGACTGATTAGAAAATAAAGATGACATAAACTACCAATATCAGCTCTGTGAGCGTTTAAAGAAGTTGAACGCATAGTTAAAAACCCTCCCACAAGGAAGAAAACTCCAGGCTTAGGAGGCTTCAATGTTGAATTCTATCAAACATTTAAGGGAGAGATGATGCCAGTTCGTCACAAAGTAATAGAAAAGGAGAGAAAATTTCCAAACAATCCTTGACCTCCGGTGGGAGGAGACAAGTGGGCCCAGCAGCTGTCAGGTGCTGTGCTCCAAGCTGCATCCTCTCTCCCAGATTCGAAACCCAAACCACTCTCCCATCCCGTTAGCTCCAAAACCATTAGCAGAGAAGACTCCAGACACAGGGGCTGCTTGTTTCAAGTAGCCCATTGCCACCTGGGCTTTGAAAGGCTGGGGCTCTGGGGGCAAATACAGAGGCAGATGGATGTCTGCAGCTTGTGGCTTCATAGCAGAGAAGGAGGGAGGGAGCTCTTACTTTCAAATGGCTATCTCAGGCTGGTACTAGCTTAAGCTCGTTGGATTTAGTATCTGATGTAATCCATAGAACATATATGTAAGTGGCATTATTATTCTCACTTTATAAATGAGAAAATGGATGCACAGAGACATTAACTGACCTGCTCAGGATCACACACCAAATGCCAGAGCTGGGCCTAGCATCCAGCTCTATCTTGCCTCAGAGCTCATGCACCTAAGTGAATTTAGTCTTCATGGTTTAAAACTGTCCCCCAGCATCTAGGGGGTGAAGACGTTAAGGTAGATCATCTCCATGGGGCTGACCCTGAGGTTACGGCATCAGCACACCAGATTCATGAGCATTACCTGATTTTAAGGACCCAGCACGGTTGAGAGGGATTGCATGAAGTTCTTTTTAGCTGAATTCTAAAATATATATAATTCCACTGTATTCAGATATTTCACAACATTGTTAACAGTTGCCTTGAGATATACTACTATTCAAGAGCGCTCAGCTCAGGTGTAATACCATCTGCAATATACCACAAAAAACACAAGGCAGGAGCAGAAGCATTCCTGAGCCTCTGACAGTGGTGTGTAACCAGTGTGATAACTACATCTTTGTACACTCTTTTTAAGAATCTGCACGGGCATCAAGGCAGTTTGGAAACTGAATCCAAACATCCCCCTTTGTTGTTCACAAGACCATCAGCAAATGTTTGTTGTCAGCAAACCATCAGATGGCAACCTTGACTTAACAATGTTTACTAGCCATTTCTCCTGGTTGAGCTTTTACCAAAAGATCAAGCAGATTTTAATTTCGAGAGAGACTAGACCACTTGTACCCTCCTGCAAATACACCAACCTCCTTTGGATCTGAGCCAGGACCACATGGACTCTGTCACTGTACCATCTGCATTTCTCCTTGGTAATGCTGATGTGGACCAAGCTCCCATCCTTCCAGGGAGTGTGCACAAACCTGCTGCAATATTTTGCATGGACAGTCTTCTTTTTGGTCTCCTAAGGAAAGGACAAAGGACGGAAGCCACTCAGAAACATTTGAAGAAGAAAAGTTTTTAAATGGCATCTCCATCTCTACCTTATTTATACAGCTCTTAACACTCACCCCCACTGCAAATCATTCGATCATTAGTTCAACCAACCACATTCTGCGGTCTGCTCCACATGGAGCCCTGTGCTAGGTGTCATGAGCAATGGTCAGAAAGTCATGTGCAGTCCCATCCATGCCCCACAGGGGCTAATGATCCCAGCAGGGAGACACTGCATGTGAGTGTGTGTGCAAGCACGCACGCACACACACACACACACACACACAAAATTAGCAATGCAGAGACTTAGATACCCAGTACCTGGTAGCAGGGAGACACTGCATGTGAGTGTGTGTGCAAGCACGCACGCACACACACACACACACACACACACAAAATTAGCAATGCAGAGACTTAGATACCCAGTACCTGGTGCTGGGTTGAGACAGTAAGGACTGGGCAAGTCCTGGCAAAGAAGAAAGAGTTCACAGTGGACTGGAGGGTCAGGGAGACCATTATGAAGGAGGTAGGACCTGGGACTCACACAAAACCTCTGCCCCTTGCTACTCCCACCCACAAATGAAGAAAGTAGCCAAGAACCCCATCCCATCTAGCACCCTCTAGTGGGACATACAGAACTGGCCGAGGACAAAGGCTCCCCACAAGGAGAGCTCTCATCAGGTCTGTCACTCTGTCACTTATCCAACCTATATTCATCAAGCATTACAGCAGGCCAGGAGCTCTTCTAGGCAGCAAGAGCACAATCCATAAACAAAGACCAAAATTCCTGCCTTCGTGGAGCTCACATCACAGGGGAACAGCCAGATAATAAACAAATCTTGGTCTAGTAGGTCAGATGATGACAGATGCAATGGAGAAAAGTAAGGCAAGGAAGAACAGAGAACGCTGAGGAAGATGGGAGGGGGCAGGGACAAGTTAAAACCTAAAAGGGAAAGCTTCACGAAGAAGGTGGAACATGAGCAAAGATGTGAAGGAACACAGAGGGTGGCCGTAGAGGTCTGGAGGAAGTCAGAAGACATAGCAGGTGCAAACGCTCTGGGCTGAGAGTCTGCCCAGCATGTCTGTAGAACTTCAGCGAGGGCCAGTGTAGCCACAGTAGAGAGAGGAAGGGAAGAAAAAGTGAGAAGAAGCTAGAAAAATAAATGCCGTAAAGCTGACAGTCCACGAAAATGACTCGGGCTTTTGCTGAGTGAAAAAGGAACCATCTAAAGGCTTGAACGAGAGAAGTAACACATGTAATTTATGGTCTTGCAGGATAACTCTGGCTACTCTGTTGAGAACATGCTGCAGAGGGCCAAGGTCAGAAGCAGGGAGTCAGGGCACGGCGTAGGGGCAGGAGCAGCGACAGTGACAGGTGCTCCGATGCTGAATGACAGCTGTATCAAGAAGACAGAGCTGACGGGATTTAATGCGATGAGACGTGGGGGCAGAAATGAAGGTGGATGCTCACGACGTTGCCTTCAGTGTTCCATGAACGTGAGCAGACAGGAAAAGGTGCTGGCGTTGGAGGAGGAAGTGGAAGGTAGACCCGTCGGAGCCGAGGGGCTGAGTCGGTCACTGGGAAGCACAAGAGATCTGCTCACTCCAGAGCGCACACCTTTAAAACGGAAGCAGGCGTCCCGGCTGCGTGTTTCCTCCAGCTTCCTCCAGTGCCGTCCACTGCCCAGGGATAAGCCAGAAAAGGCAGAAAGTTGGATTTGACCAGGCCTGGGGTTTTGCCGGATGAGAGCAATAATGTAAGAAAGGGGGAAATTAGTTGAGGATGTATGGGAGGAACACATGGATGGATAGGACAGAGAGAAGGTGGCAGAAACAAGAACATGTATATCCCAGTGGGGGTGACAGATTGGTGGAACAGGGCAATAGAGGAAATGACCTAAAAAAAAAAAAAAAAAAGGGATCAGAGAATGGGACACTGTTTGCAACTGTTTTTGTGGGTTACAATTACATGTAATGACAAGGTCAAGGCATGCCTATGGCAGGAGCGGTACTGATGGAGTGGAGGAGGTCAAAGCAGTGAAAGGTCGGAGTGCTGGAAGGGTCATGCACACGGGATTGAAATCACTAAGAATTAAAACAGGTGTTGGAGCCAGTGATAGCACGACAGAAGCTGTGCTTTTCAAGGACTGAGGGGGGTGAGCTGGGGATCAGTAGGTGACAGCCACAAGGAGGTGTAGTGTCTGATGACATGGGAGGTGGGCGGGAGAATGGCCAAGCAGCAGCAAAGAGGAGCAAGGAAGCCAACGCCTCCCTCCAGGCCCATCGGTCCAGGGGGAATGAGAGAGAAACCAGCACCCCCTCTAGAGGAGTAAGAATTGTAGAGCCACACGGGGATCGGAAGCCAGTGGTGACTGAGTCCAGTGGTGACTGAGGAGAACGGGGCTGAAGGGCGCGATGAGATGGGTCCTATGCTCCCCAGGCAGGCGGAGAGGGGCGCCACGCCTCTACGGCAGGGCACGGACGGAAGGAGAAGCCGTCTCCTCTCTCCTTCTCACCACATCCCCAGGGTTGCCACGCAAAAGGGTTCTCCCTACTGTCAGTCGCATAACACGGCATTTTCTGAGTGTGCCACATGCACAGCCAAATGGAAAAACACCGGACCATAAGCTGCAGAAAGGCAGGTTTTGTGTCAGGCGGCAGCATGTCACAATGGGAAAAGCACCGCGTGAAAGGCCGGCAGAACCGAGCTCAAACGCTGCCTCCACCTGCCACAAGATCGATCACAGGTGACTTGCCTAACCCCTCAGACGTCTTGCAACTTCATTTTCTCACGTGTAGAACGAGAGCACAAATACTCACTTTGTATATGAAGCATGAAGGCATTCCATAAATGCTTATTTCTGACTCACAATGTTTGTAATACAGAAGAGAAGGAAGGTAACGTCTACGGGGAATCTCCTAAGTGCCATGCACTGTGCTCGGACATGCATTTTTAAATTTGCACTTACACCATTTTACAGATATAAAGGGTGAGGCTCAAAGAGTTGAAATTATTTTTTGCAGCATCTCATAATTAGTAACTGGTCGAAGTAGCACTTACACCTAGGTCTTCTCACTCCAGATCCAGTGTACCTTCCACCACACACACTGCCTGATACATAGCAGAGGCTCAATAAATATTTGTTAGAGGAATAAATGGTGAGACAACACTGGGTTTTTGAACATCAGGGCTGGTTTTGCACACAAGCGCAGGCAACCATTCCTGCAATGTGATTTCAGGGGTGCCCAAAATATCAAGTTACTAGACTTTGCCTGAAATTCCCTAATTAGAAATGCATTTTTGTCTCCTCCTGCTGCATGCTCATCCATCCTAGAAACACTATACAGCAAGGCCTTTTTAGTCACTTATTTTTCAGGGTAAATGAGTTTCCTAGATCTGTACCTATAAAGTAGTTTTATAGTTGAATGATTAGGCGGTCCTGCACTATGGGAGTCTGGGAGAACCCTAAATAATCTACCTATTCTACAGCCTCAGTTTCTCCCTACTTTATGCACATCACAATTTTAGGTATAAATCCAGCTTCAGAATGTAGTCCCAAATACTAAAAAAAATTGTGAAAGAGGATACCCATACTATATAATTTCAACCTTTACCATAATATTATTCATTAGCACAGCAAATTTGAAGTAAAATTTTCCTTTTATAAGCCAAATTCTTCAGCCTGGCCGTATAAAATTTCATTTAAAATTGTTAAGAAAGGGTGAGGGGAAAACGTATACTATAGCTAGCTCTGAGCATACCACATTGTCACGGGCTCACAGTAAGCTGTGTTCAAATCAACAGGGATTAATATTTCCAAATATCCAGTGTCTGATGTGTTTTTAAAATAAAAATTTAGTTATGTATGATTTCCTGAACATTACTGAATAATGTCTACAAAAACCAGAAAACTGTGCTGGGGGAGGAACCCCACAAATGAGATTTTCCCTGCACTGCAGCAATTACTCTGCATCCTAGGAGAAGCCAGGAAACAAGGCTTACGTCAATGCTGCATTTTTCTAATTTGATTTGTATATTTTCCTCCTTGTGGTTCATGATAAACCAGCAATAAGGGACAAGAACACAACCCGGTGTGGCTCAAGTAGCCCCAAAGGAAACAGCCTTTCCTGGGAGGGCATATGGAGCTCTGAGGTCAGCGAGCGTAGACAGCCACATGAAAGAGACAACTTTCACCTCTGTTGGAGCTATACACATCTCAGTGATGGTCTTGACACTGAATCAGAGCTGTAGAGATTATGTAATGAGACCCGTATTTGGGGAGGGCCCTGACTCCCTCCTGGTCGCCCCCACTGCGCTGCAATCAGTGACATGTCTGCTCCATGGCTTGCAATTCACCTTTCACTTCAGTGTGTACCAGATGAGAGCAATAATGTAAGAAAGGGGGAAATTAGTTGAGGATGTATGGGAGGAACACATGGATGGACGGGACAGAGAGAAGGTGGCAGAAACAAGAACATGTATATCCCAGTGGGGTTGACAGATTGGTGGAATAGGGCAATAGAGGAAATGACCTAAAAAAAAAAAGTGATCAGAGAATGGGACACTGTTTGGAACTGTTTTTGTGGGTTACAAGGCATGCCTGTGGCAGGAGCGGTACTGATGGAGTGGAGGAGGTCAAAGCAATGAAAGGTCGGAGTGCTGGAAGGGTCATGCACATGGGATTGAAATCACTAAGAATTAAAACAGGTGTTGGAGCCAGTGATAGCATGACAGAAGCTGTGCTTTTCAAGGACTGAGGGGGGTGAGCTGGGGATCAGTAGGTGACAGCCACAAGGAGGTGTAGTGTCTGATGACATGGGAGGAGGGAGGGAGAATGGCTAAGCAGCAGCAAAGAGGAGCAAGGAAGCCAACGCCTCCCTCCAGGCCCATCGGTCCAGGGG